TCGACATTCAAAGTGAAGTCTGTGAGGAATGTGTTCAGTCGAAACAACACAAGAATAGCTTCAGCAAGGATGCAGGAAGGAAGTCGAAAGAAATACTTGAAGTCATATACTCTGATGTATGTGGTCCAATCCAGGTGGATTCGATTGGTGGCAATAGATACTTTGTCACGTTTATAGATGATTACAGTCGAAAGTTGTGGACTTACCTCATCAAGAAGAAAAGTGATGTGATTGAGGTATTTTCTATATTCAAGTCCATGGTCGAAAGACAGAGTGGCCGAAAGCTGAAAATTCTGAGGACTGATGGTGGTGGAGAGTATGTGTCGAAAGAGTTCGATACATTATGTGTAAAAGAAGGGATTGTGCATGAGGTGGTGCCGCCTTACACTCCACAGCAAAATGGGATTACAGAACGCAAGAACAGAACCATCATGAATATGGTGAGAAGTATGTTGAATGGAAAGCATCTACCTAAAGAATTATGGGGAGAAGCAGTTTCGACAGCAACATATATATTGAACAGATGTCCGACGAAGAAGCTTGAAGAAATCACACCAGAAGAATGTTGGTCTGGTGTCAAGCCTAGTCTCAGTCACTTGAAGGTGTTTGGATCTATAACACATGGACATGTGCCAGATAAGTTAAGAAGGAAGCTTGATGATAAGTCGAATCAGATGATCTTGATAGGGTATCATTCGACAGAAGGGTACAAGCTGTTCGACCCGGTGAATAAGCAGGTAGTGATCAGCAGGGACGTGATCATAGATGAGCTTAAAGAATGGGATTGGGCTGAGAATGCTAAGAAGGATTCAGTGAGAATCTCTTGTGAAGAACCAGCCAATGAAGTCGAAATAGAAGTTCGACAGGAACCAGTTGCAGATGAAGCAGGTTCAAGCAGACCTCGACGAACAAGACACGTGCCTGCAAGGTTGCAAGAATATGTAATTACATCAGATGATGTAGTCGATGAAGAGGGTGAGTTGGTACATTATGCTTTCTACGCAGATGTCAAACCAGTCAATGCAGCTGAGGCATTGAAAGATTCGAAGTGGATGAAAGCATGATTGAAGAATTGGAGTCCATCGAAGTCAATGATACCTGATCACTTGTCGAATTGCCGCAAGGCAAGAAGGCAATTGATGTGAAGTGGGTTTACAAGGTGAAGGTAAATCCTAAAGGAGAAGTAACTCGACACAAGGCGAGACTTGTGGCGAAAGGATTTCTTCAAAAGGAAGGAATCGACTTCGATGAAGTTTTCGCACCTGTTGCTAGAATCGAAACAATCAGGTTGGTTGTTGGTCTAGCAAATATGAACAACTGGCACACATGTCAGATGGACGTGAATTGTGCATTCCTTAATGGCCCCTTAGACGAAGAAGTTTATGTTGCACAACCAGCTGGGTTTGTGAAACAAGGTGAAGAAAGAAAGGTGTACAGGCTTCATAAAGCCCTGTATGTACTTAAGCAAGCTCCAAGAGCTTGGAATAAGAAAATCGACAGCTTCTTAAGGGAGAAGGAATTTGTGAAGTGTACAACTGAGCATGGAGTATATGTAAGAAGAAGTAATGGCGAATTGCTTATACTATGTCTCTATGTTGATGATTTGTTGATAACAGGGAGTTGCAAGAAGGAGATCGAAGATTTCAAACATGACCTGAGTGAGGAGTTTGAAATGTCAGACTTGGGAAATCTCTCATATTTCCTTGGCATCGAATTCTACAAGACAAGTATAGGTATGATGATGAATCAAAGAAGATATGCAGACAAAATACTCAAGAGATTTGAGATGCAAGATTGCAACCAAACTTCAACTCCAGCTGAGTCCAGATTGCAACTGTCGAAGGATTCAGATGAAGATGATGTCGACCCAACCCAATACAGAAGACTTATTTGGTCACTTAGATACCTTTGTCACACAAGGCCTGACTTAGCATACAGTGTTGGTATGGTAAGTAGATTCATGCAGAAACCAAAGGTATCACACCTAGCAGCAGCGAAGAGGATACTGAGGTATCTAAAAGGAACTCTCGACTTTGAAATTTTGTTTCCAGCAGCGGATGAAGGAAAAGAATGCAAGTTAGTGGGATACACAGACTCTAGTTGGTGTAGTGATGCTGAGGATCGAAAATCCACAGCTGGGTATGTGTTTATGTTAGGTGGTGCACCAGTTGCTTGGAATTCGAGAAAGAAACCAGTAGTGGCATTATCATCATGCGAAGCAGAATATATAGCCGCTTCTCTTTGTGCATGTCAAGCAACTTGGATGGTGAACTTGGTCGAAGAAATCACAGGGAAGAATCATGGAGCAATTACCATGAAGATAGACAGCATGTCAGCTATCAACTTGGCGAAGAATCCAATAGCTCATGGTCGAAGCAAACACATCGAAATGAGGTTCCATTATCTTCGAGAGCAGGTAGCAGAAGGGAAGATGAAGTTGAAACACTGCAGAACTGAGAATCAGATTGCAGATATCATGACGAAGGGAGTGCAGGTCGAAGCCTTCAGAAGACTAAGAGCCATGATGAATGTAGACAATTTAGACACAATGAATTAGGTGGTATGTTAAATGTAATTCATTGTTTTGATTTGATTTGATATGATTAGATTTGATTTGAATATTTTGGGCTTTTGTAAACCTAAAACTATAAATAGGGTGCCTTGCTTTGTATTCAAATATAACATATAACAGATTTCACAGTTGCAGTTTGAGCAAGTGAAAGTTCTATAAGCAATAAGAAATCCCACAGTTGTGGGTAACACATTCTCTCATTCTTCTCTTTCTTGTTTGTTCTTTTTTTCTTTTGTTGTTCTTGATAATTACTTGTTATTACCATTACTATCATATTGTGGGTTTGTTCGTCAATCTTGAGATCAAGATTGAAGGGAATTCTTCTTAGGGTGTGAGGTGAATTTCCAACAATGAGAAAGAGAAAAAAAATAGAGATTTGAGTGAAAAATGAAAATAAAAAATGAAACTTGAAAGAGATAATAGTCAAATTTGAAAATTTAAAATTGAGAGAGTAGGTGTGTGTTTGTGTATTGGTGAAAAAATTTCTTCTAGATTGTGAGTTAATGAGTGTGTGTCAAACAAAGTGAGGATTGAAAAAAGCTTAATTGTAACATTTATTGATTACTAACTCGTAAGATATTCGTGCTCATGCACTAGACAAATTATTTAATATGGTATAAAATATATCTAAATGTACGTTTGAAACGTTGTTTTATATATTTGAAATGTGCTATTTGATTGTAAATTGAAAAATGATTATACAATATCAATTGTATTAAATAATTGTCCAAAAAGAAAAAATAACTCGTGAGATAAAAAAATTATTTGGTGCGATATAAAATATATTTATATACAAATGCAAAATTTAAAATGATATACTTGATTGTAAAATGAACAATAATTATATAAATTAAATTGTATTAAATAATTATATAAAAATTAAAAAAGAAATCATAAGATGGAGAAAGAAAAAAATTAATATTTAAAAATAAGATAATAGTTGATTAAAATAAAATAAATAACAGTGATTCCTGAAATAAATAAGTTTTTAATTTTATTAAAATTAAAAAAATAGATTGTTAGTATTTTTAGTGATAATAAAAAAATAAAAGAAAAAAAATTAAAATAAAAGTAAGAAAATGTAGAAAAAGATATGAAAGAGATTTGAAATTTGAATGAAGAGAAAGAATGAATATATGTAATATTTAATTATGATTTAATTGGTGAAGATTAATATATGAATGCCACTTATCATCATATAATACAAGATTAGAATAAAAAAATAAATATTAGAAAATAGCTTTTTGTTAGTGTAAATAATGTGTAATAAAAGGACAATTTAAAAAATTTATACAATTTTCAATTGTATCAGATAAAATAGGAGATTTGTCCATAATATAGTGTAATTAAACTTTTATGAAAGGGCAAAATAGTAACAACATGCATTAGAATTTTGATAGGTTGACAGTAGAAAGTAAATTTCCTTAAAATAACTTTTTTACGAGTCCGGGCATCCTTGAATTCACTATCATTTAGACACTGTAAGATATATTTTTTACCGATGCAAAACAATTACACGGTGTATAGTGAGAGAAGAGAACACAACGTTCTCACTGGAACTAAAAAACGAATGTGTAAAAGGAGAATTAGGGTTTTGCTCTGGGAGGGAAAATTATAATTCTAAAATCCTTAAATCAGAATTTCAACTCGTTGAGATCCACATTCAAAATTCAAAATCGCCACCATCGCCACCGTCACCACCGTCACCACCAGGTACTTCTCTCCCTCTTTCTAGTCTGCGTCGTTTGAATATCACCGAAACACGTTTTGTATGAATTCAAAATCCTTTGTTTGCTCGCAAAATTCTCACAAATCGTTTGTTTAAAGATTTCCATTATCACCGTTGAATGTTGATATCGATGCTTGTAAGTTTATTTATTCTTCGTCTTCAACTTTTTGCTAGGGTCATGTTCTCTGTAACTTCTTTATTATAAATTTTCATATCTCAATTTTCTTAATGTTTTTGTTGCTGGAGCGACGTGATTAACTGACTAACTCGCTTTTCTATATTAATTTGCGGATTTTTTAATATGCGTTTTAACTTTTGTTGCTGTTGGAAATTGTTGTTTGTTGATCAATTAGTTGAACAATTTGCTGATTGCATAGTTTATCGGGCAAATAGCTTTTTTGGCGCGTGAATGTTTCGAAATTGCAAACACAATTCTATTGCCTCCATTGCCTCAATTATGGCTGTGTTTGCAATTTTGATACATTCAGGTACCGATTTGGCCGTGAGTTACACTTCCGGAGACCAAAATGGTGGTTTGTCGGTGATTTATCTATGTTACCAATCTCTCATGGTGGAAAAAAGTTCAAATGTTAGCCATACTTCTTCAGAGAATTTGGTTTTAATCTATTTGTTTATTGGTTTGGTTTGGTTTGGTTTGCAGATATTAACTCTACTCCCTGAAATATATAATATAATAACATGAGTACCACAATGCAAAGAACTCCAAGGTCTGGCAGACAGTCATTGTTTTTCCAGGATTTAGCCTCTCCTCTTTCTGGCCGCCGGGGAAAGTTTTCTAGTCCTGGTCAGTCAGGCGCTTCTTCTTCTCTATGGCGCGAAAACTTTGGTAATTCAGATCTTCCTCCGCCTCCTGTTTTCACCTTGGACGACAGATCGGACTTTTCTCCTGAATCAGGCATACTGGATTACCAAGTATCTCCTGAGACTAAGTCGGAGAACAAAACTCCTGTGCAGAATTTAAATAGGGAATTTTCGACTCCAGCCAAAGGCAAATCCGAGGCCAGCACATCTTATGCTTTAAGAGGAGTGCAGCAAAACCAACAGGGCTCGCCAGGTTTGAATTGGTGGTCGCCTGCTACTGCAAAGAGTGGTGGTGATCAAGACGAGAAAGGAAGGAGTTCTCCAGTTGAGGGGGTGGTTCAGCCTGGTGCTTTGATTACTCTTCCTCCACCACTAGAAGTAGCAAGGCCTGAGGTTCAGAGAAATTCCTTGCCTGCAGGGAATCTCAATGAAGAAGAATGGGTAACAGTATATGGGTAATGTTTAAACTCTACTTTAATTTGGTTTATTGCTGAGGAATGATAGTATTGTATTCCACTTTAGAACTATTTATCAGTATTTGTCCTAGAAAAGCATAGAGTGTGATTAATATGCCATAAAATTCATCTTCCTAACCCCTAAATAAATGGGATCAGACCCATGTTTCCTATAGCACACTTAAAAAACATTCCAAATTGAATAGACTAATAAATTGCGAGGAAGAGAGAACAAGTGTGCAGCTATGTCTCTGAGTAAGAATGATATGCCATACAAAACTGCACATCTTGGTAGGGAAAAACTGTTTAGTGTGGAAAACTGGATCCTTTCATTTTGTTTTAATTCTTACCACTATCACTGTCACATCAAAATACTTGATTTAAATAGAGGCTCTGTGCTTATTGTTGAAGTTTTGAGAATTGTAACGGATAAATTAAGAACTGGGTGATAATCAGAGTTATTGGCAAAGTTAGGAGGGAAGGTCACAGCTTCCCGATCATAATGTGGACAGTATGGTGGCTAAAAGGAGATTTTCTATAGTAGTTCCCATGTGGCAGGGAAGAGTGAGGAAGAATATAGACAAAATAAAGAGTAATCAGGGCCTCTTGGCAGGGAGGAAGTTAACACCTCCATTTCTGTTTCTGTATGGTTTCTTGCAACATTTAAAACGGTTCATACCAATATGTTTATTTTTTGCAAGTATGTTGAAAATTAAAAAAAGCAGAGTTTTTGAGTTTCCTATTAATAAGAGGGTCAACAATACCTAAGGCAATGCTTGGATTGGTGCAACGATATGTCAATTTAATAGAATGACACGAACTGCTGTGCAGCGGTTTACTGTAGCACCTGCTATAGTAGCCAAAACCAAGCTGGTTTTGGCCACAAGGGTTGCTAAATGGTTTAGAAAAAAACTTGTTTCATTAGACTTTTGTGGAGAATAGCTAATTCTTATTCATTCATGTCATCTTTGTGTTTGTATATTATTTTCATCTTGAATCGGTTGAATAAATCATTGTTTTTAAAGCTCTTTAGCTCACATTTTGCTACCCCAAATATAAGTGCCCTATTTAGGGCTACAGATTGATTTAATAGTATACCCATTTTTCTTGCCTAACTGATAATCAATGCGTGTTGTTTTTGAGTGCCAGCTTTAATTAGGCTTATTGAACTTTCTGCATCTACATTTGAGATGTGAAATCAATAAGACAAAAGTATAGACTCTATTCAGGGGTGAATGTATTCTGCTTGATTGGTTTGGCTCTTATAATTTGCTGCCCTATTTATGTAGTGTCAAATATAAAAAGACTGCAAACCTTATTTATAGATAATTGATTGTCCATCTCAAGAGTTTTTATGATTATGTTATATATATATATCAGTGTACATGCTTCTAAAAATGCTCTTTCTGTGCAGATTTTCTCCATATGATACTAATTTGGTTTTAAGGGAGTTTGAAAAATGTGGTGAAATTTTGAAACATGTTTCTGGTCCCAGAGAGGCTAACTGGATGCACATTTTGTATCAGGTTTGCAGTCTTCATTTTGCTTGAACAATGTGATTAAACTTTTCTTTATAAAACAATGGCCGTATGTTGTATGCCAATCCAAGACCGTACATACAGTTATTTACACATTATTGTCATAGTCCTTTTATCCATATTCCAAATGCTTTTTCTTTTTAAAATATATTTCTCTCCAGATTCTTTTATATATATATTGAAAGTGATTGACTAAATACATTTCTTGGTGATGCAGAATCGATCGGGTGCACAAAAAGCTCTTAACAAGGATGGAATACAAATTAACGGAGTCCTAATTGTTGGTGTGAAACCCTTAGATCCCATGCAACGACAAGCTTTAAATGAAAGATTGCACAATCAAGGTTTTATCCCCTTGCCTCTACCCTCTGCTAGAAACTCAGAAGCAAGCACATCAAAAGCTCTTTCTCGGCCATATTATCTGCAGAACGGCAACACAACTACAAGGCAGACTGGAGGAACCATTGCTTCCCCAACAAAATCATTGGCGTCCAAGATCTTTGACTTGATGTTTGGAGTCTAGATCAGCTGTTCTGGTTATCAAACTTTATCATCCTGTTTGTTAAAAGCAATATTTTACTCGGTTATTCACACCCTCTAAAGAGGTTCGGCGTGTTATGTTTGTTGGATTTGAGTTGGAATATTTACTCATTTAATTGAATTTTATGGCATCTTAGCATTGTGATCTTATGAATGGCTACTAGTTGCCAAATGTTTTGAGAAAGGTTCATAATTTACGGGTACAGGTTGATCAATGTTAATCTGATCATTGTGTTAGCACTTCAGATTTTGGACAGAATTGAATGTAATGTCAGATTTGTTTGATTCATGAAGCTCACTTTGATTTTTGTGTTTGTCTATGCACTTGAGATAATGGTGTTCATCTCACATCAGAAAAACTTCAAAGTTTTGACAAACAATTATTTGAGTTTGGTAATCATCAAATGATTACTTACTAATTACATTGGCAAAATGATAGGTTATTATTTGAAACAATATGTAATCTTACGTGTTCTTTGATGTAAATTTATTTGGGATTTCTTATTATCTTATTCTATGGAATATATAATCTTACGTTTTCTTTGATGTAAATTTATTTGGGATTTTTTATTATCTTATTCCATGGAGTGGAAAAATATTCAATGCAAAACTCAAAATGTTCCTTAGGAGATGCATCTTCATATGCACATTGTCTTAAGTCAACACAATTGATTCAGGAATGTATCTTCAAAATATTTTAAAACACACTTTATACATCCATCTTAATGTTCATTTTAAATATTTATTGATTTAGAGATACATCTTCGTTTAGAATTTATTGAGATGTATCCTTGTAACCTATCATTAAGCCATATATTTATAAATATTAAGGCTCATGTTATATGATTAGCATTAAGCCATATAATCGACATACAAAAAATGACATGTAAATCTAGAGTTAAAATAAATAATCATACAAAAAATGACATGTAAATCTAGAGTTAAAATAAATAATCATTACATACTGTTAGCTCATAAATTCAACGTCTGGTTTAAGTTAGTGAAATTAATAAAAGAAAGAGACTTTTTTTGAAAGTAATGACAGACTTCGATCAGTTTTTCTATGGAAGTCTAGTCGAAGTGACCCATGTGCCAGAAGGAAGGATTGTTTGGACTTAGAGAAATTATCTAAGTTTGAAGGTTTAGTTCGACAAAAAAGCCACAGATGGGGTCTTCGATTTAAAGTTTAAAATTTGAATAAAGGAGGGAACTTTGTTCTTATCCAGTTCTAAGAGAATACACATGAAGCATATTGGAGAAATATGATTTTATGTGTGATAAAGTTTGTACAAGTCACTCAAAATTACTCAAAGTATCCATTGTGTAGAGAAAATAATTGTTGAGAAATGTACGTTTGATAAAACACCATACTTTTCTTTTACAATTTAATCAAACTCAGTTTATACTTTTCTCCAGAAATTTATTTCCTTAGTTGCATAAGTTTATTTTGATGCGTTTAAAATATTTTCTTTACTTTCTTGCAACGTATTTCTTTTGTCGAATTACCCTATTCTTCAATCATGAATTCTGTCGAAGTGTTCATTGTTTCTCCAAATTTAGTTTAAAAATACATTAGCACATGTCCTAGGATTCACTGATTGATCCTGTAAGTTAACCAATATTTGGAGACAAGCGGTTGTTTATTAATTTTCACGATAAATAAATTGGCACGCCCAGTGGGACAGTGCTAGTGATATTTTTAACGATTTTTCTTTTTGAAAATTCTACCAAATTCTTCATGTTTGTTGTCTCTCTTTTGCTAAACTTCGCTGTATGTTATTGAGAAGTGGTAAATTAGCCATCACTAACAAAGATAGACCAAGGAGAAGATACACGAAGAAAATGGCGAATCAAAGTCAGCCAAACAACCCTAATCCTCAAAATACAATGGAGAACCACAATCTCAGCATCTATTTCTGAGACTAGGGGAACCACGGTCTCAGTACCTATTTCTGAATCGGTACCATCCATGGCAAGTTTGATGCATACGCAGTCAATTGCCCATAGTGAGCCCATTTTAACTTACATTGGGCCACAGGGTCCTCCAATAACCCCCCACCAATAGGAAACGCTTCAAATAGACCCTTTATGCCTTCAGGTTTCTCCATGCCTTTAGGCGGTCGAGAACAACCTTATGGAATGCCAACATCCATGATGGCGAACTTGCATAATGTGGGGTCAACATTTTCATAACCCGTAGTAAATTTAATTTCTCCATTGTATGGGTCAGGGTCTGAGATTAATAATATGGATCGAAATGGCCAACCCTTAGGGATAGGTTTTTTCACCCAAATGCCAAGATTGACAAATAGTTCTGCAGCAGTTATTAGGCAACAAATGGATGAGAGTAACCATGAAATGGTCCAGATGCTTTCCCAAACAATGGGATAATTTTTAATCCCCTAATACAAAACACTACCCAAGCCAACCAGCAAATGGTCGCGCAAATGACGTGCATTCCTAACTTTTTTGGTGTACCACAACCTCCTCGACACCCACAGAGGGAGTATATGGTAGAAAATCAAGGTGTAGCCTTTGGAGAGGATGTCAATATTAACCAAGTCCAACAAAACCAAAGGAACACACCTCTAGAAAACGCTATGAACCAGGGAGAGGTTGTCGAACAACCTAGAGTCGAACCCCCTAGGATTCAACCATAAATTCCAACAAAGGAAGTCTCAGGGGCCGTAATGGTGAATAGAAACCAGAATGCTGACAATGTCATATAACAAATTCAACGGGAAGATATGGCAGTAGATAACAATCTGGCAATCATGGCCGAAAGGTTATGGCATAAAATGGGGTAAATTTGGGCATGTGAAGGCCAATTTACACATCACCATTGTTAGAATACATTCAAATTTACCCGCTAGATGGAAAGTGCCTAAATTCACTAAGTTTTCGGGGGATATCAATGAGTCTATTATCGAGCACGTGGCTAGGTACCTAATAGAGGTAGGAGAGATTTTGAGTAACGAAAACCTTAGGATTAAATATTTCCCAAGCTCTCTTACTAAAAACGCTTTCACATGGTTTACAACCTTGCCAGCAAATTCGATTCATACATGGACTCAATTGGAGAGATTGTTTCATGAACAGTTTTACATGGGACAAACAAATATTAGTTTAAAAGAATTGGCTAGTATCAAACGAAAGTTTATTAAGCCAATAGATGATTATCTAAATAAATTTCACCAACTCAAATCCAGATGTTTCATGCAGGTGCCAGAACATGAGTTGGCGCCGTTGCCGGGGATTCTTGTTGTTATAAATCAATTTTAGAGTCATAGGGTTAGTTAGTATCCTCGAGTCTAGATCTTAGTTTCCTCGTGGTTTCGTCCAATTCGCGTCTTACAGTCCAAATCGTAAAAAAAATCTGTTTTTGGAAAAATTGTGTCCGATTGTAAAACTGTTTTGCCTACGAGAAGCAGAAAAATTGTCCGGTCATTACTCCATGTATTCCAAAGGAATACCTGGTACCCACCCTCAGAATCGCCAAAAAATCCTTTTTTCTATTTTTAATGAACTTTTTACTGTTTTTATAGAGTTGAAAAAAATCGAAAAAATTCTCATAATTGGTATTTTGCTTAATTAGTTTAATTATGGTATTATTTTAGTTTTTTGAAATTTAATTAATTGTTTTCCATCATTGTGTTTGAGTCTGAGTCTGAGTCTGAGTCTGACTATCTGCATAACTTGTTTGCTTCGGATACTGAACTTTTTGAAATGGCTGATAATAGAACCTTAAGACAATTAGTTGCCCCTGATGTAAATTATAATAGCTTGTGTATTGAATATGGTGATGTTGCTGTTCCTTTTGAATCAGAATCTGGTTTAATACACTTGTTGTCAAGGTTTAATGGACTTGCAGGTGAGGATCTGAATAAGCATATGAATGAATTCCAAATTGTGTGCTATACACCTTCTGAACCTTCACTAGAGGACCTTGTCAAGCAAATGGCTATAAATGATCTTCAGTTTCAGCAACAAACAGATTCAAGTCTTCAAGCTTTGCAGACACAGATTGAACAGCTTGCCACTATAGTGAATGCCATGCAGCAAGCTCAAGATTCAAACTAACCATCTTCCCAAACAGTAGTGAATCCAAAAGAGTTTCCTTCTAATTTAGTTGATGATACTTATTCTGAATTGTATTTTGATTTTCCATCATTAGCAGATTTTGGTGATACTTACTCTTGTGATTCATGTACCGACACTAACATTTGCTCTGTTTGTGCTGAGATTAATGCTGCCGTACAGGGTGATGTTTTTCATGCAGATGAAGTTGTTTATGAAGCTAAAACTCTTAACATCACGGCTGCCCCAACCTCACCATCCATTGAACAACCTCCCCCCTTGGAGCTTAAACCAATTCATACCAATCTGAATTATGCTTATTCAGATATGGATAAAAAGCTTTCAGTTATAATTTCTTCTAACCTTGATTTTGATGAAGATAATAAACCTTTATAGGTTTTGAAGAAACATAAGAAGGGAATTAGATGGACCTCGATGGAAGTGGGAAGAAAAGCAGTGAAGCAACCCCTTAACCCATTGATCTCTGATGTTGTGGAAAAGGATATCAAATTCACGTGCCCATTCAACACTTTTATTTATCGAAGATTCTTATTTGATCCTGGAATAAAAGGTGAAGGCACTAATACAAATTTCAAGGGCGATGGATGCTATCCAAAGTTACTCCCCACTTTGGAAGAGGAAACTGCAGGAAATCTCTCTTTGGGAAAGGATGCATATGTGATCACTTATCCACCTTGACTCGTCGGGTGTGTTCTTTCCTTTCCCTCACTCTTATTTTATATTTATGTCCTTTCATTGAGGACAATGCTTGTTTTAAGTCTGGGGGAGGAAAACTTTTGCTTTACATTTTATTTTGTTTGTTTTTTTCAGTTATTATAATAAAAATATAAAAAAATTTACACCTTTTTGAAAGTTCTGGGCTATAGTCTAATTTGGGATTAGTTT